TGTTTACTTGATCCGGCAGCGGATGTCAGCGCCATGTGAGTGCGGCTCCTCACAAAAAATATCATCTACTATGATTAAGTAGGCTTTCTTTTAGAGATGTGGTGATATATTATTTCATTTTTTAAAACTTGCCTGAGGATTCAGAAAGTAAAGTCAGCCCCAAGCTATACAAGCCAGGCAGTGATGGTACACACCTTTAATCCTACCACATGGGAAGTAGAGGTAGATGGATCTCTGTTATTTCAAGGCCACGCTGAGCTGCACGAAATATATCCAGTTCCAAAGAGAAACAGCTCATATAAAGATGATCTCAGCACTTGGGATCACAGGCCTTTTGGGATCACAGGCCTTTAATCCCAGGACTCATGAGAGGTATTTAAAACAGGAACAGGGTCTTGGAGCTGGCATTCATTTTCCAGCCACATTGAGGAGAGGCAGCAGTCTGAGGTTTGTGGAGCCAGGATAGCCTTTCAGTCTGAGATAGAGTAAGAGCTAGTAGCAGATCTTCAGCTTGAAACTTGATCACAAATATCAGTCTCTGGTGTTTTATTTTTCATGTTACACGGAGATGCAGGCATTATTTCACATAGATAGAATGGTTAATGTAATCTACCATATAAATAAACAAAAAGACAAAAGTCATGTGATCATATCATTAGATGCGGAAATGCCTTTGATAAAAATCAACACCCCTCATGATAAAAGTCCTGGAGTGGTTATATATACCATGGACATACTTCAACATAATAAAAGCAGATTACAGAAAAGCAGTAGCCAACATATAACTGAATATAGAGAAACTCAAAGAAATTGCACTAAAATAGGGAAGGAGATAAGGCTGTCCTTTCTTTCCATAGTGTTCAATATAATACTTGAAGTCTTAGGTAGAGAAATAAGACAATTAATTGAAAGTAATCATGGGAATACATCTTGGAAAGAGAGAAGTCAAAGTATCTTAATTTGAAAATTATATGATAGTATACAAATTTCCATCTTGAAATTAGTATAGATGATAAACACTTTCTACAAAGTAGCTAGATACAAGACTGACCCATTAAAAATAAGTAGCCCTCCTATATAAAAATGACAAATGGACGGGAAAGAAATCATGGAAACAACCACTTTTCACAATAATCTCAGGTAATATAAAATATTACAATTCTAATCAAGCAAGTGGAAGACTTGTATGACTGAAACTTTAGGACAATTAAGTAAGAAACTGAAGGTGGAATGAGCTCCCTGGAATGATCCCTGGAATGGATCAGTTGAATAAAAAAGAAATCTATAGATTCAATGCAATCCCCATCAAAATTCCAAAACAATTCTTCATAGATCTCAAAAGGACAGTTTTCAGCTCCATGTGGTAATAATAATAAAAAAAAACAGAATAGCTACAACAACCATTAATAATGAAAGAACTGCTGGAGATATGACCATCCTTTACTTCAATTGTACTACAAATTTATAGTAATAAAGACTGCATGACCTTGGCATAAAACAGGCACTTTGGTCAATGGAATTGAGCTGAAGATGCTTGCATAAATCCACAGACCAATTGATATCTTATCTTTGACAAAGAAAATGGGCAATAGCTAGACAGGAGAAAGTATAGGTAGGGCTGCCAGAAGAGAGAATGAATAGGAGAAGAAATGTGAGAAGAGAAAATGGGGGAGCAAGAAAAGATGACAACCACCCAGCCATACAGCCAGACACAGGGTAAGAAGGAAAGGAAAGATATACAAAAGTAAAGAAAGGTAAAAGCCCAGAGGTAAAAAGTATAAGGGATAAATTAAGTTAAGAAAAGCTGGCTAGAGACACTCACAGCTATACACTGAACTGAACTCTGGAACCCAGTTGCAGAGAGGGAGAAGTGAATATCAAAATGGTCAGAACCAGCCTGGTGAATCCCACAGAAGCAGCTGGCCTGAACAAGGGGAGCACACGGACCCCAAATTGCTGTCTTGGAGGCCAGCACAGGACTGATAGAGATCCCTGAACGTGGATGTTAACAAGGAGGCCTCGACACTCAGAAGGGCCCATGATAGTGGATCAGTATTTTTCCTTGGTGTAAGAAGGGACTTAGAGAGCCCATCTCACACGAAGGTATGCTCTCTTGGCCTGGACACATGGGGGAGGGCCTAGGCCTGGCCCAGGATGATGTGTATTTTGAGAAGCCCCTGTGGAGGGCCCTACCCTGCATGGGGAGAGGAGGAAGGAGGGAGTGGGGGGCTGGTAGGGGTTCTGGGGAGGGGAGGGAGAGGGAGAGGGAGAAGGGATTGACATGTGAAGCAAGCTTTTTCCTAATTTGAACTAATAAAAAAAAGGCTGGCTAGAAACAAACCATGCTAAGGCTAATCATTTATAAATAAGAAGAAGACTCTATGTGATTTATTTTGGAGCTGAATGGTAGGCTCCCAAAAAAATAAAGAGTAAAAAACCAACCAACTATAATGGGATGATCATTTGAGGCCAGGAAAAAAAATAACACTGTAACAATAATATATCCCCATGTGCTGTAACATCCATACGGGAGACCCTTATCTTTCTACCATATTTCTAACCTTAGATTGTTAAATATGCCAACTTGTTACATACGGATTTCAAATTTTAGGCAAGGAAGTATTATTGGCTATCTTCAAATGAAGCAAATAAAATATTTTAATTGGTATGACTTGAAGCATTTGGTAATGTGATATTTTTCCCACAGTCTGGCAAGAACTCAAAGCATCATTTTAACAGGATAACAGTATATTTTCCTTTCTTTTCAATATACTTTAAGTTTACAAGCATCATTCCTATTCAAAAGTGTTATCAAAATATTATGACAATGTCTTAAAAGAAAGAGATAAGGTAACATAACAGATAAATCTCTAGATTCTAGAATTTGTCAACTGAAGTAAATTACTACTAGAGTAAGTTTCATGTTTCACCATGAATAAAATGTGTTATATTCAGAATTAAACAAACATGTATCTAAGTAAATAAATAAGAGAGTTATATTTTCTTTGATTTTTTCAGATTTTTCTTTCTTCGCTGAGCAAGTATTTCTTACATAATTTCTCATCTAAGAGAAGAGAGACAAGAAGAGTTCATGAGTACAAAAATGGATAAGTGTGTTCTTTGCTCCACATCATTGCCAACAAAAACTGTCACCAGTTTTTATGATTTTAGCCATACTGCTGGGTGTAAGGTGAAATCTCAAAGTAATTTTCATTTGTATTCCCTGATGACTAAGGATGTAGAACATTCCTTTAACTGTTTCTCAGACATTTACATTTCATCTTTGAGAACTCTCTGTTTATATCTCTACCACATTACCACATTTACTTTTTAAATTGAGAGTATGTGTTTTCTTGATATCTAATATTTTGAGTTGTTTCATTTACTTTGCATATTTGTCAATTAGTGGATGTGTATTTGTAGAAATCTTTTCTTCCATTCTGTAGATTGTTTCTTTTTCTGAATGATGGTGTCCTTTTCTGTGCTTTTCAGTTTTATGAGGTTCTAATTATTAACTTTCGATCATGGTACCTGTGATAATGGTGTTCTGTCCAGAGAATCCTTTCCTGTGCCAATGAGGTCAAGCCCATTCTCTACTTTCTCTTCTATCAGGTTCATTGAATTTGATTTCATGGTCATGACTTTGATACATTTGGAGTTGATTTTTATGCAGTGGGGATCTATTTGGATTCTTCTATATGTAACCATCCAGTTTTACCAGCACGAACTGTTGAAGATGCTGCTTTTTCTCCAGTACATATTGTGTGAGATGAAATATGGATGAGTTTTAGGTATGAATTGAATCATTAAAACTATTCCTTAAAACTAGAAGATTGAGGCAGAAACAAGAAGAAAAGGTAATGACAAAAAGAGAGGTCAGAGTGATGGCATTTCTGATTTTGAAGCTGTAAGGAGCATGAGACACACAGTAGAGGCAATTTCTAGAATTAGGAAATCGTAAGGGACTCAATTATCTCCTAGAGACTTCTAAACTAATAGGGCCTTATCCATATCTAATTTCCAACTCATAAAATACATGCCTGAATATTAGCATTTAAGCCAATAAGATAATAAACGCATTTTAAAACATTGTCTGTTTAGCATTGGTTATTTTCAGCAGCAACTTCAGTCCCTTAAACTTCCCCTTCTGTTCAATTTCTCCTTCAGTGAGAACCATTTTGTTACTTTGGTATGCACTAGGGTGACCTACAGATTTCTGATTGTTTCTCATGTCTTCTTCTTTCCTTTTATGTTAAGGACATTTCTTTGGGGTTGTGGATTCATTATTCTGCATGTAAATAGGTCTGAAAACTTTGGTGAATTTGATTTCTTTTATTGGATTTTTATATCTTGAATGAGTTATATTTGATTCTTTAGTAACTTTGATCCCTTGATTATGATTTCCTTGGGGATTAATGTTCTATCTTTTTAAATGTTGTCTTTTGGGAGGGTGACATTAAAAGGGATTGAAACTGTAGTTTCATGATGACAGACAAGCATCTACTCACCTACATTCCTATTGTTTTCCTTAGCTTTTCAACATAAAATTTAACAGTTGATTTTACTAAGTCCAAAGTCGTGTTTATGTTCTGTATTTTTGTATCTATTCATTTCCTCCCCTAGTGAGGCATATTTTTGTTTCTTTACTGTTTTGTAACATTATTTTAACAGGCAAATACTGTTACATTTGTTTTTTTTTCTTTTTTAATTTTAATTAGAAAAGATTATTTTACATGTCAATCCCAGGTCCCTCTCCCTCCCTTCCTCCCCTGTGCCCCCAACTAACATTCTACCTATCCCATACCCTTTCTGCTTCCCAGGAGGTTGAGGCCTTCCACAGGGGTTCTTCAGAGTCTATCATGTCCTTTGGGATAGGGCCTAGGCCCACCCCCATGTGTCTAGGCTCAGGGAGTATCCCTCCATGTGGGATGGGCTCTCAAAGTCCATTCCTATGCTAGGGATAAGTACTGATCCACTACAAGGGGCCCCATAGATTTCCGAGGTTTCCTCACTAATGCCCACATTCAAGGAGTTTGAATCAGTCCCATGCTGGTTTCCCAGCTCTCAGTCTGGGGACCAAGAGCTCTCCCTTGTTGAGGTCAGCTCTTTATGTGGGTTTCACCAGCTTAGTATGGACCCCTTTGCTCATCAGTCCTCCTTCTCTGCAACTGGATTCCAGTTTAGTTCAGTGTTTAGCTGTGGGTGTCTGCTTCTAATTCCGCCAGCTGCTGGATGAAGACTATAGGATGCCATATAAGTCAGTCATCAATCTCATTATCAGGGGAGGGCATTTAAGGTAGCCTCTCCTCTGTTGCTTAGATTGTTTTACTGAATAATATTACTTTGACTGTGTCAAGGTGTGTTACATTGTTTATGCTGCCTTTGTAACAATTTA